CTTTCAGTCCCCAATTAAAGTAATTTCTTCATTCCCCGTTTCTTAATCCCTGGCTGATTTACTTACCCATTTGATATTTTCTTATTAGCTTATACCATACAATTCTTTTCTTCTAAAAGAAGAAAAAAAAAAAAAAAAAAAAAAAAAAAAACTTATATCACACCTCAATGGGTGGGTTCATTCTTAACCTCTTTCAAAACCCCCTGTGGGTTAAAAGGGTAGGGCCCATTGTCAGTTTCTATTTACCTAATTAAATCAAAAATCTAAAATCTTGTCTATAACGATTAACATAAATACAAGAAACCAATACAAAATATAGGTCACGCTTCCAAATTCAATTTACATTTTGTGGTGCTGTGGGAGCTGCCCATTTGGTCAAGGAGTTCAATCTACAAGCAAATATATTTATGCGTGTGTGGAATTTTCTACGGTGCTTTGGTCTAAAGCCAACAAGTGCAATCAGGGTTATGCAACTTATATTCACCCGGGAAAAGCATTTATGGTGCTAAAAGTTAAAAGAATTAAGGAGCGATGGGCCCCCTGAGATAATGAGAAACAGAGGCATTACCTTCTTCACACATTTCTTCTCTCTAACCTCATACCGACTCTTGGTCAAGTCAGATAACCACATTCCAGGAAAACAATACTGCCAAAAACAACCCAATACAAAATTTTATTTAAATTAGAAAATTATAGCCACCATAATAAAGAAAAAAAAAAAAAAAAAAAAAAAAAAAAAACAACTTCTAAAATAAGCCTTGGTTAGGCCATACCTGGAGAGCTTTGTCAACGTTTTTAGCCCTTTTCTTGGGTCTATGAGGAAGCTTTGTGCCTTTCATAGCCAAAAAATCATCTTCTTTCTCCTTCCTTGACAGCGCAATGTAAATCCTAGGCCACTCCATGGTTTCAATATTCACTTTCTCAGGTCCAGCCACTGAAGCGATGGTAGAAACACCAGCTTCTTGTTCTGATTGCACCAAAGCAGAATCGGATTGCTTCATTCGATCAGATTGTCCAATGGATCCATTTTGTTTTGCATCTTTAGTTGACCCAGAACAGGATGTCTTTTTAGTGGCCTTGTCTGGAGAAGCACAGGTTCGTTTTCCTGCTGCAGATCTAGAAATCACACGGCCATTAGTGCCCCCATTTCTGGACGGTGATCCAATTGTGGCAGCTGATTTCTCTTCTAAAGTCCTGATCATGGCGACCAAAAAGATGTCACAGGCAATATACTGCTACTTTTGGTTGCAAAAAGTGGGGTTGTTTGGACTGGAATAGTAGATGAGGTTGTGCACCCAAAACAACACAAATCAAGGAAGACAAAAGGAAAGACAGAAATTCAGTCGCACCTAAAAGGAAACGAGCCTAACTTGAAGAGGTAACAAATTGCAAGGAAACCAAAAGGAGTCTCATAAATGTTTGTACAAATACATTTATTATATATAATATGTGTGTATATATATATAGAAAGCAGAAAATGATTTTCAAGATCGGAACACAGGACTGCTGAAGAGTGAGAATTAAGGAAAAAATAATGGGGTAAATTTTAACAGGAGACAGAATAAAAGCATTTGATACGCAAATACCAGCATATGCAAAGCAAAACGAGAAGCAAGAAGAAGCGAAGGCTAGGAGAAGCTCCTTCTTGGATTCCCTTACCATAGCCCTAGAGGGAGTGAAGAAAGGTAAGAGAAACGTCTTTGTGAACCTTTTCAGGGGTATAAAGGTAAACATGCCAAAAAGTTGCTCTTCACCTATGTCCAACAGTAGAATAATCTAACAACTAACAGAGGCTTTAGATCTTGAAACCCACCAAATATGGAGACAATTACTTTAACCACTCGACAAAAAATCAGGCAATTCAGTGATTCCAAGAAACACAAACTTAACTTATCAATAGTTAAAATTTTCGTTCCTGATAAAAATCAAAACTGAAAAGTAAATCAAGAAGATAGCTCGTTTTCAAGGATTATGATGCAAAGAAACATATCACATTGGTATTACAAATACCTGCTGCGTGATACATGATTAACTCACAAATTTTAACAACTAAGTACCATAAGGTATAAACACAGAGACATCGGATCTACTAATAATCCGAGGCGTTCAATTGAGGGGGGAAAAATAGGCCAGAGAGAAGTTGAAGAAAGAGAATGACTTTTTATTTACCAGAAAAAAAGAGAAAATAACCGAGAAGAGACTTTGGTGGTACCTGCTAGAAATGAATCCGGAAGTTTCGCTGCCAGTAAACACCCCATTTCTAAGATTTGAAGCTCTGCTGCTGTTATTATTAGAAGAGGCACTCGAAGGATGAGGAGGCGGCAGTGGAGGTGGCGGCATGGTGGCACTAAGAGCTCTCCTCTGTAGCTTGTTGATAGGTTGCCTCCCTTGAACTGATGATGAAGAAGAATCATCAGTGATAATGACGGTGGCAGAACGGATCTCGGTCCTTGACACCCTTGACCTCTTCTTATGGCCCCACTGCAAAAGCACATCCCCACGGTTGGGGCTAGGACTGGGGCTTGGACTGGTGTCGCGTCTCTGGCTCTGGCTGCTATAATGATGGTTGTTCTCTGAGGTGGGAGATGGAGATGCAGGTGCACAACTAGCACCGGAGTGAGATAGATGATGGTTGTTGACGTGAAGATCCTGATTTCTAGATGGAGATCTGAATCTAAGGCCCTTAGCTCCTGCGTCATAACTGGTGCAAGTGCTTGTGCTTGTGCTAGTGCCGTTGAATCCACCGCCGTTGGGGATAGTTCTTCCATTGTCGATATTGTTGTTGCAGTTATCTTCCTTGGATGCTGAGGTTGTTGCTGTTCTCAAGCTAGGCTTTTTGCCGTTGCTCAAGGGAAGACAATCTGGGCTTACTCTCTGATACCTGTAAAAAGAAAAATTCGGATGAGTTGAACGAATAATTATTTTACCAAATATGAACACCACTATTCGTCGACGAGTATTAGCCAAAAGGGGAAGTTCCAAAATCCACACAAAACCAAAAGCCAGAAATCAAATCCAGTTAAAGGAGTATTAATTCCCAGATTAGACAATAAGATCTCTTCTTCCTTTTTTTTCTTTGGTTAGTCTCTGAATTGCTATATGCATTGTCCAAAATAAATTTTAGGACAAAGAAGCAGACCGCAAGGCAGAGAAAAACGAAGCACAGAATCCAAAGAGATCAAAACCTGAGAAACTAAATTCAATTGCAGATGCTGATTGGTAGTGGAAACTCAATGAGATTTAAAGAGAAGAGCGGCAGTAGAACAACAATAGCGGGAGTGAAGGATCACCATCCCATCGTTCTTCATTCTTGAACCGCACAAAGGTTAAAAGAAGAGGAAGAGAAGCATCCGAAAAAATCAATTTCTTTTGCTGCGATTCTCGCAATCGAAGCGTATTCTAGTTAACAAACATGGCTAAAGTAGGACAAAGCAAAAACCGCCTGAATCGATATCCACTCCACAGATGAGCAAAACGAGGAATAAAGAGGAAAGAAAATAGGGTAACAAAAGGATGTCTGTATGTGATTGGACTCAGACCAATCAGATGAGAACCACCGAGACATTGCTGGCCTCGCCCACCAAATCTGACAATGTTCATGAACATCATTAGCCAAACAACAATAAAAACCGGATCCAATACTGCGTGGAATCATCAGAACATGATCTCACGCCACTGAGCACATAATCTGATCGACTAAATCAAAACGATTAAACAATTAAACGGAAAACAGAGGATCAAGAGAGTGAACTCGGATGCTGAGTTAATAAGAAATAAAAGAAAAATAAAAGCATAATAAGAGAGAACAAGAACCATAATAGAGATCAATTGAGTTAAACAAAAACAAAAAAAAAAAGAGGGAAGATGAAGAGGAAGAGGAAGAAACCTCATCATTATATCCAGAAGCGCTACAGGTATGAAAATAGAAAGTAGTACAATAGAGTCGGAGTCGGACTCAGTGAGTGATAATGGTATGTGTTTGTGATCTGTATTGAATCTCAAATGACGTGGTTACACCAATTCATCAAAGAAATTGCATATTCGGTGTCTCTGCATAGTAAGATTCAAAGAGAAAAGAAAAGAAAGAAGGAAAATCACAGACATGGAAGAACAAGGAAGAAGGCGAAGAGAGAGCAGAACGAAAGAAGGCTGCGAGAGAACAGATGGAGCGATGCGATATCAGGGTCTGAAGCCTAGTAGTAGGGAAGAGAACGAAAGAGGAGTGGGTTTCATTATATTATTAATTAATTATTTTTTAAAAAATAATGAATAATAACGATAATTTTGATATTACCTTTCTACCCCTATCTTCTCCTAGTTATTCTTAAATTGCCACTAAGGAATAGTTGGCCCATTTCAAAGCCCAACCTCTTTTAAAGGAACTTTTTTCTTTAAAAAATTATCATAAAATGCGAACTATGCAATTAATTAATTATATTTTTAAAAAAATTTAATTAAATCCAAATATTTATTTTGAAAAATCAAAATTTAACAGACTAATTATATGAGACAATATTTATATAAAAAATATTTTTATATTAATTCATATTATATATTATATTAATTATATTGTTAGTTCTAACTACATATCAGTTTCATATAATATATAAATTATAAAGATATTATTTTAGAGATAATATAATTAATACTTTCAATAACAATAAAAGTATATATATATTTTTTATCATTATGTTGTTTTTATAGTTTGATATGAATGACCAAATTCATTTAAGTTATAAAATGTTCAACAATTACATTATGAGAAGATAATCATGATTAGATTATGATAATTAGACCTATTTGCTATAAATATAGTTTATGAAATTTCTAATAATAATAAATATGACAAGAACATTATGAAATCCTATTGATCTCTACACAATATGTTTGATATTATTATAGATAACACCATATAAACTTATATCTATTTGTTATGTAAATTAATTAGAGAATCAAATTATTGCATTGTATATTATTTGGACCCGGAATTTGGTTCGGGATTAATTTTAACATTCGAAAATATATAAAAATTTATTTTTAAATTAATCTATTTTAATTTTTTGTTAGATTTATTGAAAAAAATAAGTTAGAGATGAAATCGAAAATAATTTTGAAAAAAAAGAGCGAAAATTTGGGTTCGAGTGGTATTTTTGAAAAAAAATTAGAAATAGGGGGTCATAGTGCAAATATAAAAAAATGTGCTACGTAGGATTGTTCAATTAGCAACTCCGACGAACTGGAGGATGCCGCGTGGCGAGGCACACTAACGTCAGTGCCACGCGAGATGCCACACGTGCGATTTGCATGCCCTGTGATCGGACAGTCCAAAATCGATCTCGCGAGAGTGGACGATATGGATCTGCTCTCCCTTTAAGCGCGATCAGACGGTCAAAATTAAATCGCGATGGACGATCCAGATTCATTTCTTCCTTAAGCGCGATCGGACGGACGAGATCGATTATGATAGACGGTGCAGATCAAAGCGAAATGGATATAAATACCTCGCATCACACGGGAACCCAAATGCTAGCCGCCAATCCTTGCCGGAGAAGAAAAATCAGACGTCAGAGAGAGCGACCATCACTGCAC